TCAACAGGTCTATTGGTTTTGGTGTGAGATGTTGAAATGCAGTTTTTCCCGAAAGCACCTGCGAAGGGTTTTTCCTTAAGCACTGCTGCCTATTTCATCTTCCTTAATCTCTTTCTCTTACTTCATCTTCCCCACTCTCTCTTCCTTACTCTCTTTCTCTTACTTCATCTTCCCCACTCTCTCTTCCTGACTCTCTTTATCCTACTTCACCTTCCTTACTTCATATTCTTTACTAACTTTCTCCTACTTCACCCTCACAACATCATCATCTAATCATCACCTCATAGGTTATTAATCTCATATCATATCATATTATATCATATCAGGTTATAATATCATATCACATCACATCAATGTCATAACACATCATATCATATCATGTTTTAATATCATATCACATCACATCAATGTCAGATCATATCATCTCATATCATGTGATAAAATAATATCACATCACAACATAACATATGAAGTAGAAGTATCAGATCAACAATATCAAAGTACATCAGAAGTAGATATTGATAGGTAGGTATTGATAAGTGGGTATAGACAGGTAGGTGTAGGTAGGTAGGTGTAGATAGGTAGGTGAAGATAGGTAGGTGAAGATAGGTAGGTGTAGACATCTTCCTTAAGACACCTACCCAACTTCACCTACCCAACTTCTTCTTTATTCTTCTCTTTAGGCGGCGGGGCGGTGCGAGCAGGTCTTACGAAACGCAACCCTCTCGTGGAATCGTGGCCATCGATCGCGCGCGCGTGTGGTGAGACGCGAATCGCGTTTGCCCTCGAGCAACCCTCTGCGGAGATCGTGCGTGTCGAGTGCACGAACGTGTGGTGAAACGTACATTTTGTCTGAGCGCGGCTGGGCGCACCATTATAATTCTGGTCACAAGGATGTCGCCAATGTGCGGTCCGGACCGCATACTCATTGGGAAATGCGATTCCAAGGTCTGTGCCCGGTCTGTGCCCGGATCGTTCCCCCATTATAGTTCTGGTCGCAATGATGTCGTGAATGTCAGCTCTGAACTTTCTACAATGCGCGCTCTGGACGTCATACTCGTTGGGAACCGCGATTTCATGGTTTGTGCTCGGATCGTTTCCCCATTGTAATTCTGGTCACAACGATGTCTCCAATGTGTGCTGTGGACTTCATACTCGTTGGGAAATGCGATTTCATGGTCTGTGCCC